GCAGTTGTGAATGTGAGACATCTGAAAACAAAATCCAGACTGATACATGAACGTAAAAGACACTTTAAAAATCGTTAGTGGTGACAAGACATGGATCCATCACTATGAACCTGAGAGCAAACGGCAGAGTATGGAACAGACACATCCTCAATCGCTGACAAAGAAAAAGTACAAAAGTCACCCATCAGATGGAAAACTAGTGTTTACAATTTTCTGGGACTCTCAAAGCCAGACCTGGAACACTATCAGGGAAAAGGTTAAGCAATCAACAGTGCTTGCAATACTGAGATGCTGCTCACTGAAGAGCTGAAGTCTAAGATTTACACAGGGAACTGCTATCCAAGAGCATTGTGATCTTGTATGACAATTCATGCCCCCACACCCGTGCCTGCACTGTTGACACTCTGCATGAAAACTTCATTTTGAGATGTTAAATCATCCTCCCTCTAGTCCTGATCTTGCACCATCGGCCTTTCACCTGTTTGGTCCCTTGTGAGCAGTGCTTCTAGGGTGAATATTCTCACTTCTGATGAAGTAAAGACAGTCCTGAATTTGTGGCTTGCAGCTCAGCCTAAAATATGTTTTAAACAGTAAATACGAAAGCTTGTTGACAGATGGACAAAGTCTAATGAAAACCAAGGAAATTATGTTGAAAAATGAGGTATTGGTCTTTAATAAACGTTGATTAAAAGAGATTCTACAGCCAAATTATTGATGATTTCTACTCACTCTGTATATATGCCACGTTCCGTACATTCATAATGCCTGTCTGCACTGTGATATCTTTGAGGTTTGCAGATTGAGGGAAGACTTTTCACAGTCCTGACATGTGTGAGGTCATTTTCCAAAGTGAGATCTAATATGTGCATTGAGAGATTTGGAGTGACTAAAGGCTTTTCTACACTCCTTGTATGTACGTACAGTGAGCCTTGAGGAACAAATAAAAGTTTTCCCACATTCTTTACATTCATAAAGTTTCTCTCCAGAGTGAGATCGTGTATGTTTAGTAAGGGCGTAGGACCGAGTAAAGGTTTTCCCACATTCCTTACATTCATAAGGCTTTTCTCCACAGTGAGCTCTCATATGTACACGGAGGTCTGAGGACCGAATGAAGGCTTTCCCACATTCCTTACACTAGTAACTCCTGTCTCCACTCTGTGTTCTTTTATGCTGAGTGAGCTGTGTCTGACGATGAAAGGCTTTTCCACAGTCATTACATCCATAAGGCTTTGGTCCACTGTGAGATGTTTTATGTACAGTGAGCCCTGAGGAACAAATTAAGGTTTTCCCACATTCTTTATATTCATAAGGTTTCTCTCCAGTGGGAGTTCGTATATGTTTAGTAAGGCTAAAGGACTGAGTAAAGGGTTTCCAACATTCCTTATATTTATAAGGCTTTTTTCTCCATGGTGAGATCTCATATGTGCACTGAGGTATGAGGACTGAATAAAAGCTTTCCCACATTCCTTACAGTCATCAGGCCTCTCTCCACTGTGAGATCGTTTATGTACCACGAGGGCAGAGGAGTAGCGATAGCCTTTTCCACAATCATCATATTAGGAATGTTTCTCTCCACTGTGTATTTTTTTATGTTCATCGAGGACTTTGGAGTATTTAAAGGCTTTCTCACATTCCTTCCACTAATAAGGCCTGTCTTCACTGTGTGTTCTTTTATGTTGAGCGAGCTGTGTCTGAAGATAAAAGGCTTTCCCACATTCCTCACATCCATGTATGTGGCTTTTCTCCTCTGTGAGATCTTGTATGTTCAGTGAGCTTTGAGGAACAACTAAAGGCTTTCCGACACAGCTTACATTCATAAGGCCTCTCAGCACTGTGAGATCGCTTATGGGCAATGAGGTTTGAGGAGTAATGATAAGCTTTTCCACAGTCATTACATTCATAAGGCTTCTCTCCACTGTGTGATTTTTTATGTGCACTGAGGCCTGAGGCGTATTTGTAGGCTTTCCCACATTCCTTACACACATAAGGCCTGTCTTCACTGTGTATTCTTTTATGTTGAGCTAGCAGTGTCTGAAGATGAAAGGTTTTCCCACATTCCTTACATTCATAAGGCTTTTCGCCACGGTGAGATCTCATATGTGCACTGAGGTATGAGGATTGAATAAAAGCTTTCCCACATTCCTTACAGTCATAAGGCCTCTCTCCACTGTGAGATAGTTTATGTACCATGAGGGTTGAGGAGTGACGATAGACTTTTCCACAGTCATCACATTTGTAAGGTTTCTCTCCACTGTGTATTTTTTTATGTTCATCGAGGACTCTGGAGTATTTGAAGGCTTTCCCACATTCCTTACACACATAAGGCCTGTCTTCACTGTGTGTTCTTTTATGTTGAGCGAGCTGTGTCTGAAGGTGAAAGGCTTTCCCACATTCCTCACATCCATGTGGCTTTTCTCCACTGTGAGATCTTGTATGTTCAGTGAGCTTTGAGGAACAACTAAAGGCTTTCCGACACAACTTACATTCATAAGGCCTCTCAGCACTGTGAGATCGCTTATGGGCAATGAGGTTTGTGGAGTAACGATAAGCTTTTCCACACTCATCACATTCATAAGGCTTCTCTCCACTGTGTGATTTTCTATGTGCACTGAGGCCTGAGGAGTATTTGAAGGCTTTCCCACATTCCATACACTCATAAGGCCTGTCTTCACTGTGTGTTCTCTTATGTTTAGTGAGCTGTCTCTGAACATGAAAGTCTTTCCTACATTCCTTACAACCATGTGGCTTTACTCCACTGTGAGATCTTGTACGTTCACTGAGTTGTGAGGAACAACTAAAGGCTTTCCCACACTCTTTACATTTCTCTCCATTGTGAGATTGTTTTTTATGTTGAGTAAGGCTGTCAGACAAAGGAAAAGCTTTTCCACATTCCTTACATTCATAAGTCTTCTCTCCACTGTGAGATCTTATGTGTTGAGTAAGTTTACAGAATGTAATAAAGGTTTTCCCACATTCCTTACATTTATAAGGTGTGTCTACACTGTGAGAGTTTTTGTGTGCACTGAGGGATGAGGATTGACTAAAGGCTTTTCCACTGTCATTGCACTTAAAAGATTTCTCTCCACTATGGGTTAATATATGTTGAGTGAGCTGTGTTTGAAGATAAAAGGATTTCCCACATTCCTTATTTCCATATGGCTTTATTCCACTGTCAGATCTTATATGTTCAAGGAGCTTTGAGGAACAACTAAAGGCTGTCTCATATTCCTTACATTCAAGGGGCTTCTCTACACTCTGAGTTACTCTCTGACCACTAAGGGCTGTGGCATGACAGAAGGCTCTCCCACATTCCTGACATTCATAAGGTTTTTCACCACTTTGAGTTCTTCTGACATATTTAGTGAGTGATGAGGAACTACCCTCGGTTTTCCCACAATTGTCACATTTACAAACTTTCTCCCCATTAA